CCTACAAGTTTAAGTAAATCCGTTCCATTTAGATTGTGTGATCAATATTTTAATAATCTCTCCATACAAGTTACTAAATATTGTTACTAGCATTTGTTTTACCAATCCTATAATATGAATGTTTTTGGAAGGCAAAACAACCCTAGAATAATGTTTTCATTGTTTTCGCATCACTTTTAAACAAGTTATTTAAACGTTGATTTTAAGAAGATTATAACAATCGAAACACAGATGATACGTAATTGTGCAAAACCTTAAAAAATTCTTCTTGAGGCTTGTAAATAGGCAATATTTTGAAGAAAAAAAAACATAACAAATATGTTTTCATTGTGCATGAAATGGTATTTTTATGAATTGTAATGGCAGATATTTAAACACTCTATTAGAACAATGCTATTAGGTAAAGTTGTTGAAGAGAAAAAAAAATTCTGAGTTATTTAAGTGAAGAAAAGTCTATCTAAGGGAGATAACTGTACCTCCGAAATTATGCACTTGTTTTTATAAATAATATGATTCTTGTACAAGAAGTTCCCCTGACTTTCAAACGTTTTTACTGAGAGAAAAAAAACCACACACAGGGATTTTGATATGTGCTAAAAAGTGCGTTTCATATTTTGATTGTCATTGTTGACTCATTGTTCTTATGTCAACTGAGTGCTGTATACATCTTGTGTTTTTATCATACACGGGCGGATTTAATATTTTGTGTCATTCTGTTATTTCTAAACTTTAGCAAGGGAAGGATGATGAACAGGTAAACACATTTTAACATATAAATTTTAAAGGATGATGATAATGGATTTGTGTTTATCGTCGAGTGATTAATAATACATGCATATTAGGACAATATATGTCAAAGGAGAGGCAAAAGATTCAAAAGAGATATTCAATCTTATCGGTCGAAATCAAACTGACAATGCCATGGCAAAAAAAAAGGGTAAAGACGACAAGACATACAACAGTACACAAAACACAACATAGAAAAAACTAAAGACAGAGTAACACAAATCCAGCTTGAAAACCAATGGTGACCTCAGGTGCTCTGGAAGGGCAAGCAGAATCTGATCCACATCCCGTCGTGTTGCTCATGTTAAACCCAATTCCATGAGCTAAGCAGAGAGTGCAAACACATATTTTCAAGTAACCAATAACCCACCATGCTCACTCAAAGCTAGCGCGCTACCTGGAAACCATCAAGGCGATTGATTTTAAAGAAAATATGTTTATAATGAAACACTTTTTTTTCAAAAATAAAGGAATTAAAAAAAAATCATTTTGTAAGAAAGTATAAATCTGTTAGTGTAGGATTGGTAACAATGGAATCAATTTGTTTGTTCGCACTAGTTTGTTTTCCTTTGAAAAGACATACGATTAGTCTACTCCTCAATAGTTTTTTACCTTTCTAAACAAATAATTGTTTTCTGCAAAAACAGATAAATTATAACCAGAAAAAGGATGACTTTTGTTAACGGAATCGGAAGGATAGATGATATAGTATATAATTGTATTCACTTACATTTTGTCGATTGTGTGAGCTCCACCTCTCTTATGTTGATTAAATTCTAGGTCCACCTGGATATTTGAATGACGAAAAGAAAAGATGGCTGATTGTAGGGATCTGTCTTCACTCCGTTATTTCTCCACTTCTAAGAAACTTTGTTAATCCTATAATTAGTAAATTGTATGACTCACTGGTATCAAGCGACTCTGTCGATACACAGGGGTATAATGGATATATGAAAAAATACCCAACAACAAACGAACATTTTCTTATTTACAAATCAATCAACAACAACATGAATGTAGCGAAAAAAATGATCAGACACAAATGGGTTAATGATTACCAGAAATATGATTATAAAGTAACAAGCCATGTGGATCTGTCAAAGTTGTTCCTACAGCCTCATATGGTTCATTACTCTGGAATTGATGAGTCATGTGACACATCTGCTCTGCTTGGAATGGTCATCAACATCAGTACATTTTCAACAACTGTACGGACTGATGCTAAAAAGGTATACATTTAAAAAATATAAAGGACAATTTTCAATTTAAAGTAATAAACTAGCAATGCGAGCTAGCTTCTGTATCAGTTGTTGGTTATCAACATCAATTCCTTCTCTTCGGGTGTACAGACGACGGGTACTGACAAGGTAACAATTTTCGAAATAGTTTTATAGACGAGTAATTGCATGACTGTTCGTGTACTTTTGATACTACATGTATCTTCAACCAGTATAGCCACATAACCCATAGTATATAAATATTTTGTCCTTAAAAGCAATGCAATATGTAATTTAGCAAAAACAAATACTTTTTCTAATTGATAAGATTTGGAAATATATTTGGTTTTAGTATAAGAATGAGGCCATGTGGTATGATTGCCAATTTGACAACTATCCTACAGAGTTCAAATGAAATGTAAGAAAGCAATTATAGACCTCCGTACGGCCTTCAACAATGAGGTAAACCCATAACTTATAGTCGGCTATAAAAGGCCTGACATGAAAAATGTGAATCATTTCAAACTAGAAAACTAACGGCTTAATGTATAACAAAACAATTTACAAATAACAAATATGACACATACCAACGACAACCGTCAATTGCTTCCTAAGAAGTTCTTTTTCCTTTTAATTTTCAAATACGGACATTTTGATATCTTCATTTATGGAATTGTTAAACTATTTCACATGTTTTCAATTTTTCAGATGCGAGTAGACATACGTAATCCCTGGGCACATTGTGACTTTAGAGAATGGACTAGAAGAAAATATACAGATTCATTCAAGTTAATGAGCCAACTTGTTAAGGACCTTGATTTGAGTAACGAAGAAGAAAAGAGAATATTGAGTCAACTCAACACATGGGCAACAAATGGTACACAATGACACAAATGTATTGTATGTTCAATGAACTTTTTGTCGCAGCCTACAACATTTTGTCGCGAAAGCGAAAAATAGCCATACTAAATTTCGTCGTTGGCGTTAGTGGTGTCACTTATTTTATTTTTGTTCGTATTTCACTGATATATTGACCTAATTTGCTTGCATTAAACATTAAGATCCAGTATAAGGTTAAACTTTCAGTCATTATAACTATTGTCAAAACGTATATACTTTTATGAAATGGGACAGAAGCTCTGTGTTGATTAGTGCTTTGATACTGACATTCTTTACAACATATTCTGATAGAAAGTTCCTCATTCATAAATTAAGAAATTATCTAGAAACCACGAATCCAATTCCCTGAGGCAAATTGACCTCAGATTGATTTGCTAATTCTGTTTACGTCTTTTTAAGTCATATAGCGGATTAGAGCAGTCCCGGTTAACAGTGTTTTGGTTTAAGTGTTCTTGACGAAGGTAAATCCAGTTATGCGCTTCAAATGCAACCATTATTGTTAAAGAACTATATTTTGATCAAAATAGCAGTCATAATATAAGATATTAACGATACATAATGTATTGTTTGGATCCAAATCACAGACAACGTAAAACATAATTATGTGACCAAACAAACAAATGACAAAATATATGTGGATGGCATAAAATATATGGTTGTGACCCAAACATAGACAACAGTCATAAATATTGCTGTGACCCAAAAAAGAATCGGCAAACCATTAAGTTTTCACAACAAAATCAAATACACATTGCAATCTAATTATATAAATTTCAGATACATAAGTATTTTAGTGAGCAAGATCACAGATGACACAAACAATGTTGTAGCTAGCATAATTAAAAATGACACAAACTATATTGAAATGACAAAAGTCACAAATGACACATAATCTATTGTACTGTTTTAAACACAGCTGCCACAAAATCTATTGCATTCACCAAAATTACAGATCACATCAAATACAACTTAGCCACCAAATTTCAGATGTCACAAAATATATTGTAGTGACCAAAATTCCGGAAGACACACTCTATTATCTTGACCTAAATTCCAGATGACACAAAATATATTGATAGTGACCAAAAGTACTGATGCCACACAAACTTTTGCCATGACTGTCATTACAGATAACACAAAATGAATACCAAACAGCCCAAAATATCATGTACAACACATATCTCTGAGAACACAACATAAATTTCAATGACAAAATCACAGAAAGTTGCAACACAAAACATGCCGTGCTTCAACACATAACAAACCTCTTAAGTTATCAGTATGTTACCGCAACAGTTATTCTACAGCCTTTCTTTTTTGTCAGGTTTGATATTTCTGAGTGGAACACCGCTTGGCTTAGAGGAAGTGTGTGAAATACGCCGACAGACACGTGTTCTCAGTGAATATGTACAGAATTGTTCGACTGAAAATTACAATCAGAACATCAAAGTGCAGACAGAATTAAAATATTTAGAAAACGATTTATAGGAAACATGGGAAAGGATACGAAATTTAGAAAGTGTATGTAAAATTTGAAGAAAAAAATATATGTGACCATGGCATAACCAATACACTTCAAACAATTTCAGTTATATATGTTCTGGACACGTCAATCCGTTTACTTTCTGTATACAAGGACTATAACACACGTATAACTTACTCGTGTATAAAAAAGGGAATTGGCTATTGCCATAATCGGCAGATCAAAGTGGCATTGAATGAAAAATGTAGTACACACATGTGGTCTGTCTTTTAGTACATCATGTTGTCATTAATTTCATTCTTATTTTCTTCTAAACCGCTCGACATAATATAATTAAATTTTAAAGAATGATACTTAAATGATATCTCCCTGCATATTTTATATCGTTTCATTATTGGAATGTTTTTTTTTTATTATAAAATCCTCTATGACATGACGACTTTATTTCCAATAATAAGCATGTATTTACAAGGCGGTAGAGACAAAAAAAGAAATTACTATTATAAAGCGCCAGAGTTCACTTTCTTTTTTGATATAGTCAAATATGAATTAAAGCTTCAAGTAAAATGTTCTTAATCAATATTTTCTTTCAGAAAACTGAGGAACAAGATGAAAAAATAAGTTAGTATTTCCAATGTTTAAGTAATACAAAATACATTTTCAGAAAATATTAAACATATTTCTTAAGATCACATGCTCTGATTTTAAACGGCTATAGAGAAATTGCTTTTTGGTAATAGATGATAATTTGAGTAAACATGAGCAGACAGCAAACTTGCAACATATTTACCTAAACAATACAAACAAAAGGTCCACATAGTGTCTGAATTTTGTATACGGATTATCCAATCACTAGGACTGTTAAGAACAACTTAATACATATGTACGTCAGGGTTGATTGAATAACCTGGAATATTCTTTTGTTGTTTAACATGCAAACTGTGAATTACTAGATAGTGTCAAACCAATAAAATTGGATTAGCTGATAGTAAACAAAAGCTGACATTATTTTTATACTTCGATTTGTTTTAATTTATTCGACAGAAGGTGGAAAAATTTTAGCAGCGTATATTAACAGCTAGTTACTTTTATTCATATATTAGTGGTTCAAAACAAAAAGGGAACAAATCAAACAAAAACATAAGAAAAAAAAACCCACAGAAACAGAGAAAACAATAGGACACATTGATAGAACTTCATATTAAAACATCAAAGATAATCTTATTCAAAACATGTGCGTAGTTAGAACTAAAAACAGACTAATGAAATGCATAATAAATGTTTTGTTTAATGTATTGCAATTGGAGTAACTTCTTTTTTTTTCAGAAAAACTAACGGAAGAAGTAATGAAAAAACATGTTGAAGATCTAAATCCAACACATATTCGAGGAATGTACAATTTAAGTTTACCTAGTCTCTATTGATCATGAACACTTAATAGTTGTCATATATACACTAAAGAGTCATCAGATTTTGATAGAAAAAAAATGTCTTAATATTTTTGGCTTTTGACTTCACATTATGAAAGATTAAATTCCAACACATGTTCTCAATACTGAAATATGTGCAGAGAGCCAAAAAGAAGTTTATTCATCATGATAATACTGATTGTTTGTAATTTCATACTTCATGTACGTTGTGAAATGTAAAAAAAAATGATGGCTTTAGTAATACGAATAAACAATAATCAAAATAATATAACTGTAGTTTCATTTCTGCAAAAATCAGTGTAAATTAGCTATGTATACGGACTCTTTCGGACGGTAACACCTGGCTCATATTAGTTCAAGATTTTCCAAAAGAAACAAAACCGAAGCCTTTCCTAAAATAGGATATCTAACTTTTAAAGATTATAAGCGTGTAATACAGTGTGATAAAACAAATCATAACTTACGTTTCATTCTTTTGTAGACTTACAAGCCAGTGCAGAAGATAAAGAAATTCGAATAGTACTTCTTGGAAGAACAGGAGCTGGGAAAAGTGCAACAGGAAATAGTCTTTTAGGTCGGAATTATTTTCTATCCAAAAATTCCGGTTCTTCAGTAACTGGAAATTGTAAACGCGGAGAATCTGAACGGAAAGGGAAAAACGTAGTTATAGTTGATACCCCGGGTTTATTCGATACGACAACGACGAATGCAAATGTTACTAAGGAGATAGTCAAATGTATCGGTATGACGTCACCGGGACCTCATGCAATGGTCCTTGTTGTAAGTGTCGGTCGATTTACGCAGGAAGAGGAAGATACAGTCAAACATTTTATTAATCATTTTGGTGAAGGTGTGTTTCGCCATATGATTGTTCTTTTCACTATGAAGGATAAACTTATCAAACATAATCAATCGATTGATCAATTCGTTGAAACTGTTCCGAATAAACTAAAAACTATACTGAGTCAGTGCGGAAATAGATTCATTGCGTTTTACAATGATCCTTTTCGACATTCGAATACGGAGCAAGTTGATGACTTTTTTGAAATGAAAGAGGCGATGTGCAGTGAAAATGGGGGATCCTGTTATACAAATGAACTATACAAAGAAGCAGAATATGGCCTACAGAGAAGGATGCTTATTGAAAAGGAAGCATTAGAAGAGCAAAAGGAAAAAGAAAAAAAAACGGTAAGAAATGAAGTAGAAGATAAATACAAGAAAAAACTTGAACAGGAAACGAAAGAGAAAATTAGATTGGAAGATGCCTTAAACTCCAATAAAAAAGAAACAGAGGAAACAAAGTAAATCTACAGAAACAGCTTCAAGAAGTAAGTGAAAAACTGAAGCTGGAGCAGGAGAACAAAGAGAAAGATTTGCAAGAGCAATTGAAGAAAACTGAAGATGAATTCAAACAAAAAATGACAGAAAATGCGTTAAGAACAAACCAAAGAAATATTGTTGAAAACAAAAAAGAAGGATTATTGTCTGATATAATGGGAGGATTAATTTCACTTGTCAAATTAGTGTTTCGTAAATAGATTGATTTTAAACTGAAGAAAACTTTAACTCAAGATTAAAGAGAGATTACGTATTTACGGATTTGGTGTACTTGTTAAAAATTAAAAATACAAACAATGTCTAAACGTTTATGAATACATGTATATAGATACAATGATAGATGCCGATTAATTGTTGGCTTATCACGCCATTCAACTCAAAATAGAAAATGTCCATGAAATCATTAGATGGTATGTTATAAATATGAAATGAAAATGACCGAGAAATGGATGGTTGGGCCATAAACAATGATCAAGGCGTAATCACGGTAATTACTTTTACCGCCAATAGAAATATATATAGAATTTGGAAGGGAAACAAATTTGCTCATAACGATACTTTCGCAAGGGTCTTTCTCTTGCTATCAGTGGGACACTCTTTTAGCTCGAGTGAAATCATTTACGCCCCTTCCCATTGGGATTGGGTCGTGTTACGTAGTGGGAGAAACTGGATTTGAATTATTATCCTCTAGGTTTCATCTGGGAAAGAATAATGAAATGCGGGTATATATTATTGCTATATAAAAACGAAACGAAAGTAACAACACGAAACAATATGTAACAAATCAAAGGATTAATATAATTATAGATACTAATTTATGATCATCAATAGACCAATGTCGTTCACAAAATGTCCAGCAAAGTGTCCGTTGTCTAATAAACTAAATCGATTTAGCTGACAGTATAGTATCTACTACAATGTACCATCAAAATGAATACCAATTTCATAAAGGACACACATATTTAAAATCGTTGACAGACACATGAACATGCGGAGAAATTTAACGAGTTAGTTTTCTTTAGCACCACTGTCCCAATATAATCTCAATAAGTATATAAGCAAAAGGTACCTTGATGAAACTGTAATAACGTAAGTTCAGAAAACAACAACAAATCTCCCAAAGAAGTATAGAGTCCAGCTGATTCGTGCATACTTTTAGAAGAATTGTAGGTTTAATGATAAAAGCACAAAACGTTGCACAATTGTAGATATATATTTGGATGAAAATTCAAGATATGGATCCACTCTGGAAAATATAATATGGCCACTATTTTCAAGATGTCTGCTCAACAGTCCATATTTTACAACCATATATAATTTCAAGCAAATAATATTCAAATCGAATCATTTGAAAACATCAAATGTTATCTAACGTTTTTAGTAAGTCACGACATTATATAAGACTTTTCATTTTTTTCATAACAGCCACCAAAAAGTAAAAATAAATAAGATTAAGACAAGGCTTTGCTGAAATAACTTCTATTGAATTGCATTTTGCAGTTCATACAATATTATTGAGATTGCTTGAAAGACAATTTAATCAAAGTAATCAAAATGGAAACATTCGAATGTTTTCAGGACGCCATTAGGATTTGTTTGAACGTTTAGCACCATATGAGTCATAAATGATAATGAATATTTTCCACGTTTCCTTGTAGCAATCCTTTCTTTTTCGTTGATTGTGGTAATATCAAATTGATCATCGAATATCTACTTGCAATGAGTAACAACACAAGAGGTGTCAGTTGTCCAGAAACTACGCACCCTTCTGTGACACCTGTAAAAGTCTTGTTTATCCATCGTACAAGCCTTGTTCTGCAGTTTGCATGTTGTGTCGACTATTATATTATTTGTTTGTGCGTTTCTCTGTGATGAGTGTTCTTGCGTGTGTTTGTGCTGTATTTCTGTCACGTAGTGTTGTCATTTTAGCAATATTTTTTTAACATTGTTATATAAGAGGGAGGTTTGACTAGCCATAAAACCAGGTTCAACCCATCATTGTTTTTCTTAAAATGTCCTGTACCAAGTCAGGAATATAGCAGTTGTTATCAAATAGTTCGTTTATATGTATGTTGGTGTTTGCTTTTGTTGCACTTCAGTGTTCCTGTTGTTCCTTTGTTTTCCTCTTATAAATGATGTGTTTTCCTCGGTTTTAGTTTGTAACCCGTATTTGTTTTCTCTCAATCGATTTATGAATTTTGAACACAGTTATACTACTGTTGCCTTTATTGGAAACCTTATCTAACTTCAAACGTTCACATTCGGTCACGTTTAAGACCAAAGGTTACATGTTTTAAATTTTGTGATTATAAGGTTTAGAAAAGAGACATTTATAAATCCATCATTATATGATATATACCAAATTACTGGATATGACTCACCAATCTAGTTGATCAGGAGCACCAAGGCAGGTGTCACTGGTTGAACCTGTTGAACTGGAACTGCTGACCCTTCTCCAGCACATTCAGTCACCCTCAGATGAGAGTTGAGTTGGTGCTCCTCAATTGTTAGATTTTTGTGTAGTGATGTCTTGACTGCCGTTAGTCTTATCATGCATTTTCTATCCATTTTCTTATTGTTTTTGTTTACTTATTGTTTTTTAAGTACCTAGATATCTCTTTTTAGTATCATCTAAACCACAGGACCGTTTATAACATCATTAGTAAAAGTCCGAAACTTTCCTTGCTTAAAGCTTTAAGAATGTTAACAACATGGCTAAAAATAGAACATATGGAGTAAAATGCAAGTTTTGTCTATTATTTTGAAAACCATTATAAAGAGAGAAAATCTGACAAGAGCAAAAATGTTCAAAATGTTGAGCTCTACCAATTGTCCGTACATGTCAAAACTGTCATATGACTTCTTATAGGAATTATTGCCCTAGATTGCAAATTTTACCAATTTGTTTCATTTTTGCCTACTATCTTGAAAACTATAATAAATACAGAGAAACTTTAAAATAATCAGCAAGACAAGTTCAATAAAAAGGTCAAGATGGTCGAAATCGTCAATCGACTCCTTATTAGAGTTATTGCCCATTGATGATGATTTTGACCAATTTTTTGCGTTTTAGCCTTTTATCTTAAAATTATAATAGACATATAGAAACTTAGCTAGGCAAAAATGATCAGCAAAACAAAATCTACAATGAAGACAATATGGAGGAAATGGTATTGCCCTTTAAAAACTATTTTCACCTTTTTTTGTATGTTGCCATATATGATAGAAAATTATAATAGATAAATATACACTTTAAATCACATAAATAAACAGCAAGTCAATATCTAGTAACAAGTCAAATTTTGCCGATATAGTTTAGTAGACTGTCACTCTTTATAGGAGTGATTGCCCTTATATGAGATTTGTTTTATCCTCTTTTGTGTTTTGAGCAAAAGCTAAAGAAGATAAAGAGAAACTAAAAAGGCTAAACTATCAGCAATACAAAATCAACAGAACAGATTTTTGTCATGAATTCTATTCCTGTCTACAATGTTGGAGAGTGTCCTTTGATGAAAATGCACATAGACCAAGGTGAGCGACACAGGCTCTCTGGAGCCTCTAGTTAAATTACGTTTGCAACACTTAAACTGTATAGATCAATGGCATATTATCGCTTACGGGTACTAGGTGACATAAAAAGATCGGAAAATTCAAATAATCAAATGAACAATCAAACTTAAAAATCGAAAATAAACAGAAAACGCCATGGCTAAAAAAGAAACAGACAAACAACAGTACACAAAACACAACACAGAAAACTAAAGACTGAACAACACGAACCAAACCAAAAAACTAGGGATGATCTCAGGTGCTCTGAAAGGCTAAACAGATCCTGCTACACAAAGGAATGGATATTGCAAAAATGATAGCAATATATGTTTACAGTTTTTACTGAAATAGTCACAACATTTTGTTCATTCTTAAAAGACACAAAAATAAATGCAAGCAAAAATATCTGAAGTTTTAAAGTTTATGAACTGTAGTGTCCATTGTTAATTTTTCAAACCGATGGAACATGGTAGTTTTTGTGCAACGGTGTTGCAATTTTTACTTTTCGTGTTTTCGTGCTTGAAGCTTTTTGTTCACCATTTTTCGTTTTTAAGTTGGTCAAAAGGAACATTTAGGCTTATTTTAATCTTTCTTTCATCTTGAAATTGATATTTTAATTCGTTCGTCTGTTAACTGTCAAGGCCCCCTCTCCCCTTTTACGATTTTCATTCAAGTTTCTCTCTTACCCACTTATCCAGTAATTTCCTTCATTTTATTAACAAAATTCCCATCCCGCAAAAAAAAAAAAAAAAAACAAAAAAACAAAATCTAATACTTTTGTTTCAATATTTACAATATTAATTAGATTTTAGTTCTTTCAAATTCTTTTTATAGACCGCATTGTGGACGTGAAAGAAAGCACTATAAACCACGGTTTTGATAATCATGAACTTCCAAATATTAGTTGGAAATATATTATCAAACATGAATATCAAATTAAGAATATCAGTATAAAGCATGACATAAATAAACGCAACAGTAGTATACCGCTGTTCAATAGTCATAAATCGATTAAGCGAAACAAAAAAAATCCAAGTCACAAACCAAAACCAAGGAAACACATCAACTATAAGAGGAAAACAACGGAACAACAGAAACACTGAACTTTATATTGTTAAATATTGAACAATTAACCACATACAATAAACACACTGACCAATTACATACACTCCATACATAGACTGACAAATCACTTAAACTCCATGCAATAAAAGCTATACTCTAACAACTTTTATACACTTCATACATATCATGCTAGCATTATTCATCAATCTAAATAGGTTTTTGACTATATTCACTCTAAGTTTATATGTGTGTATAATGGATTATTTGGATCGGTATTATTTCCCAATTTTCGTTGCTTACTGATGGCACCCGTAGTACATTTGCACGTCAATGGCTGTTGAGAATAATCTGTT